ACCAAACCTGAATTTTAAAACTGCCCAAACCCGAAACCTATTTTCTCTGACCCCTAAAGGGCTAGACCACCCACAGCGCGTCGAGGCTTGAAATCCCTGGTGGCGGAAGCTGTGGGTGCCAAGCTCTGCAAGGTGGGTCTGGCGCAGGGTGTGAGACACACGGTTTTAGGGTTGAGGGTTTGGGGTTGACTGTAGTCTCCTTCGGAATTCGTTTTCATTTCTGTCAGAATATAACCATAAAGAATGATTTAGGATGATATTTTCTTATAAGTCTAGGGATTACAGGCCAAGGAGTCAGCCAAAGAGATTGATGTCTAAGGCTTGTTGACGGCTTCCAGGCGGGACGTTTAAGAAACCTGTCCATTTGGAGAGTTTTTGCTGCTCTTGGAGGGTCAATCCTTCAGGCTGATTGCCCATCATGCCACCTGCGGCATTTGTAGGAGGAATCTTTTGAAGTCTCCTTTCAAACTGAGAAATCTGCATTTGGGTTGTTCCAAAATTGGAGTCCCCAGGAGAAAAAGTTGTAGTCCGGCTTCTATTCTGTTGTGGTACAGAAATCGGACGAGAATTTCGAGGCTACCCAATTTCAACCAGTTCCAAAACAGCTTTCGGGCTTGTGACTCGGAATTGGGTGTTGGGGTGCTCTGCAATATGGTGTATTTGGGTGAAGATTGTGCCTTGCTAGGGGGGGCTGGAGTCATGGGCTTACCCGTCCCTTCCAAGACGAAATCTCAGCTGATCGGGGACAAGTGCCTTAAATGCCTGACAGTAAGCCCTGAGCTTAACTGTGGGTGAACCTTTATAGCCTTTGAGGGGGTTGACTCGCAAGAACCTCCGCTCCTTCGGAGGTTTAACGGGAGTTGTTCTTGATCTGTAGCAGCCGCCGAAAACAGAGACTATAACCACCCTCAATATACCTCTCTTGCATTTCAGTTGTTGCATTTCAGTTGTAGGAGCAGGAAGTGCCTGGACCATACCCCGGATCCGTATGACATCCACGCATATGGAAATCTGCAGAACACAACTGGTAAATACATGCAGCAGCCATGGCTTGAGCAGCCCTTTCACCAGCTCGTAGGCCCTGTTTCGGTATGCTTGATTGCGGGACAGGACTTGAAGGCAGGGGCTCCAATCATCAAGGATGCAAGCACTGAGCCCAAAAGCCTCATACCTAGAACATCCCTACACTCTGAAGTCTAAACCTGCCACTAAAACCTGAACTCAAAATTGGACTGTTTTGAGCCAATGGGAATTTCTGAAAATACGTCATATATATATATATGAACATATATATATATATCCAAGAACCTCAGGAAGACGCCTTTGGCCAGTGATTATGGGAAACCTTCACATCTACACCCCAAGATCCGAAGACTAAGCTTTACACAAACCCGATATCATCCCTGACATGCTTGCTGTTAACACCTGAACCCTAAATGCAAAACCCCAGACCCAAAACCTGTAAATGCTTGGCCCCAACTTTTAACGCTAAGCCCATCAGCTATGTCGTTGAGTTATTCTCCTACCTCTGACGCAGGCAGAGCAGTGCAGCAGATGGGGGCGCAGGCAGATGGGGGTGGTTTGTTCAGGGGTACCCTCACGGGTCTATAGGGTGTTGGGTTCTCAGAGTTTAGAGCATACGGGGTTAAACTGTGTTTGAACATGGAAACAGGAAGACGAGTGTCATTCTCTGTCTTCCGAAATCTTGAATGTATTGTGCTGTGTGCACGGAATTCGGCCATGCGAAGCGTTTGATGTCATTCGTACTGTCAACTCAGAGATATGGGAGCATGAAAAGCCTTTTGTTTGCAGAAATCAAGATTCATTATTCATTCTGGAGGTTCGAGCTTGGAAACTTTCTCAAAGCTAGCACCGACTTCGATGTAACACTACAAAAGACCAAGATGAAGAATCTTGATGGTTGAAAGCCTTACTCTCCGCCCTAAACCTTGTCTCAAAAATTCGAAAGCCTTAAACCGCATTACCCTTGAAACCGACCCTATGTGTTGTTGTGCCTGCCTTTGTATGGCATCCTGGGCTCCAGGCGTATTCTGGGGTTGGGATTTAGGGCTTGCTTACTGGCGCTGAGGGGGAAGTGGAGGAGTTCATGTTGAGGGATGAGCTTAGGGCTTGGTCAGTTGAGGTTTGGGGTATAGAGATTAGGTCTGCAATGTTTTGACTTGGGATTAGGTCTAGGATTCAGGGTCCAGATTTAGTCCTGCTGGTAAGGTCTTGTGTTGATTGCAAGGCACCATGGAAGGTACGGGGTAATGAAAAAGGACTTCAACTATAAAGCTACAGCCAATAGTAGCAGCCCTTATTCAGGCCTTTTTTCGAGTTGCAGTGAGCTTTGGCCTTTTCTCCTTCGCATCCCTAAGCCCTGTAAACTAAGAAATCCCTGCATAGGGCCCCCCTTAAACCTGACCTGCAAACCTGAGATCCTGAAATGGAATCCCTAGAGCTGGGACCCTTCACCTTCATTGCGAAGCTCTGAGAGGCAATCCCGAATCGGAAGGCCTCACCCCTGACCCCCCAAAGCCGAGTGTAGAGGCATACACAACTCGAACAGGCTGTAAGGGAATGTGTTAGCAATTCTTCAGGCTCTCCACTAGGCTCTTACCCTTGAGCAGGCCGCTTAGAGCAAGCCAACTGCACTACGCTGCCATGGACGCCTGGATCTTGATGCCCTGTGCCAGCTTTGCAGCTAGAGCGGACCATTGAGGTTGAGGGGTACCTTTGGGTTTCATTTGTAGTTGTTTGGGGGAGGCTGATCAGACCATGCACACAGACAGCAGGATGTCTGCTACAGAACATAGATGTCGCAAAGCTCGGTCAACCTCCAATCCAAACCAAGACCCGAACAGCAAACCTTCACAGATGTTTCATCAACAGCCTTACCCCCACCAAGTGTTCAATCAGGTGCCGATCGTCTGCTTAATGCTGGATGAATTCTTCGTGGTCTGGGCGTGTCAAACGCCAGGGCAGTGCTAGGCGGCCAGGCTGTGTCATGGATCTTTGTAATTGCTTGCAGACAGTCGGGATCGAGTGGCTTAGTAAAGAAGTTATTCGGAAGCTATCCATACCAAGGTTTAACGTTGGAACACGTTAACATCGAGTTGTGTAAAAGCGATCTGCAGGTAGGACACGCAGCGCCTTGGAAACTTGGGAGGGTTGGTCCGCAGCCAACATCCTACTTCTCTGCTGCAGGGGTATCTCCGCACTAGAAGCTGCCTCTAGCAGAGATGAGATCCAGCACCCTTCGTAAAAGTTGGGGTCATTTTTTGGCTGCTGTTCAGTAGTTCTTGGCAAGAGCCTTTGCCAGCAGGCTGTGCTCCCTAACACCAGCCAAGGTACACGCGAACTGCTGCTATGCAGGATGCCAAGCGAGCCGAAAATAAAGCCCTCGAGCACAACCTCTTGCGGGCATCCCAGCTGCTTCTCCGCACAAGTACAGCGGGTCTACGTGAAGGGCTGCTGAACATGAGTCCTTTCGTTTATGAGACCCATAAAGGGCACCTTCAAGGGGGTGAGGAATCTGGCTCGGTTGAAACTAAGACTGATAGTCTCATGAGGCCAGCACCTGGAGCTTAATCGGATTCGCAGAACTCCGGCCGTCCACGATGGTTCAGCTTCAGTTTTGGCATCTGGGTGCAGGACGGAGGCTTTGCGTCACACCCCCTCTGTATGAAAATGGATTCCTTCTCTGTGCTGCATGTCTGGTCTTTGTGGGTCTGTCTCAATGATCCTGTGATGCTTCCCTCGGGACACGCAGAGGACCTAAAAGTTGCAAGAATTCTCCAAGCATTTTATCGCACGAGGGTCAGAAGGTACTCGGTACGAAAGCGGAAGTGGCTCTGCTTGAGCAAGCATGATCTAGCCACACGGAGGATATACCAGTATCTGTGAGGCTTTGGACGGTAGTATGTGGTCATCATCCAAAAGATGACATTGTCAATTTGCGCGCTTATAGTCAGTCCGATCATGGCATTAATAATGGTCATGACCATGGCAATGGAAGCGTAGACTAATCCTGGCACTGACTGACAAAAACACAGCAGCAGTGCTAGGTACAACGACAGACTTGTTGTGTTCCTGTGACTGGGAGGCATGCGAGCTTTCTTATCATTATTGTTTCTTTCATCATTGAAATATTTAATTCTAAGGTGAGACTTGCGAAATGTGACAACAACTACTACTACACCTGGGGAGGTCAGAATGATACCTGTGGCTGCTATTCCTATTGTTGTGGGGGCTGTCAGGGGTCTTTGCAATGACTGCGGGAATACAAGGTTTCGTACCAAAGTCTTCGAAATGACCGCGTACCTGTACCTTCCATAAAGCCTGCATGTTAGCCTAGAGTCATCCTATCAAAAGCAGAAAGGCCCCTGATATAGAAAATAGCCATTTGGCAATCCCAACGAAGTCTGTATTGCAATTCCTGTGGCAAGGGTTAGCGTTGAGAGAGGCCCCCACCTTGGTTTTCCTTGGTTCTATGTGCGATACTTCATGTCAAGCTCTTTGCCATGAAGAGTTGTTGGCTCAGATCTCTGACGCAGCGTAACTGCGCAAGCCGAGACCCAATGAATGTGAAAGCTTACTCGAGATCAGATCCCCCGGCAGGTAGATGCACCTGACCCTACAAAAGCCATCACCCACAGTGGCCCAGTAATCCACCCCGAGCGCCTGGCTTTTCAGGCCACCTCATCTGGGGCATCTTTCTGGCAGCTTCGCGTTTCTAGGACTGCTCCACGCTCGAGGTGCCATCCCCTCCGAAACTGAAATTTTCCGGGGAATCCTCACATCTCAGGACATGTCTTTGGGCCAATCACAAATGGCTGCAAGTGGTGTGATGCTATTTGTGGAACATGTGAGTCATGTGAAGCTGCTCTTGATTCAGCTCTGCTTTGAAATCTCCCGCGGCATTTGATGTCTCGAACTTTCAATCAGGCTCAGTCAGCCAAAACTGACGGTGTTTCTCTAGTACGTCCATATCCTTGGCCATGAGGTCAGCGGAGCAAGCGTGGAATTTTGTCCCAGCTACGGAGATTGGCCATGCCCGACACTGGTGCATCATGATCGCAATCGTTGGTGCCATCCCGCTTCAAGTGCTCATCGTCATGGTTTGGTTCTGTGTCGCTGCGTGTTGCCTGGCCAAAAAGGACGAAGGCGAGAGTCTCCAGAACGGGAATGGCGCTGACGACTCGGGAGCTTTTCTTGAGATTGGAGCTTCAGAAGAAGACATTGCCAGAGTGTTTGAAGGTGGCTATCCATGGGGCCAGCTGGCAGTCTTCGCATGGCGAGTAGTGCGTTCGTCAGTCAATTTGTTTTACATGATCTACATGTGCGTGTCCACAGCACCCCTCTCTTTCATGATGGCAGAGCTCAAAGATGCAGAGCATCATGCTTCGCAGAGTTCATCAGAGTTATGGTGCTTCGAGAGGCATGCAGTGGTTCTTCTCGAAGGTGTCTTCGCCTTCCTCATCATGATTCGCCTTGTCGTAACACTGCTGCAAAGCGTATGTTCGCGTTTAGCACATCGACAGTTCAAGAGTACCCTTGAAAGGGCATGCAGCTTCTCCGCCTTCAATCTGTTGCCAATGGCAAATCCCGCACAAGCGATCGAGCGCACGAAGAGAGTAGCACAACAAGTTCAACAACAGATGAACCAGCGCCGTCCAGGTAGACACGTCAATGTAGTGTGCGGACTGATCATTGTGCTTGCGATGGTGAACATGCTTTTGGTGTTCATCCCTTTGGCTGTTATGTCGGTCATGGTCAAGGTATCGAAGCTTGGTTTCATGTCAAGCGGACAGGCCTGGACATGGCGCGAAGCCCTGGCATTTGTCATGTTCATCAACGCTCTTGCAGGGCTTCGGGCAGGCATTGAGAAGGAAAGGGAAAGAACCATCTTCGAAACGGTTGGCAAGGGCACCTATCATGTGGAAACCCATAATGGTTTTATGGGCAGTGTTTTCTATCATCTACAGCAACGATACGGTATTTACGCAGGGCTGGCCATCTACGCCACGCTGTCTCCGACACAGGTCTGTAAACTCCTGAATGGAGCTTGACTTGCGCGATCGGAAAAGGAAAAGACAGCGCCGGGGTTCATTGCAGACTGAATTCCAAGCTTGCTTGGCTGGTGAGGGTATGAAGTTCACAAGATAAATGCGGTTCTACCCCATGGCAAGTCAACCCGCTTGGAACCCCGTAGGCGCCGCCAACCATGAGCACGCATGTGCGCAGATAAAAGAAATTCCAGAACTGGGATTTAACCGTTTTTGCTCACTTTTGTGAGGTCTCCTTTGTGATGGTTTGTCCTGGTAGAGGGTCATTCGAGCAATCCTTTGTGGGAGTTTCTCATGACGGCTCCGATAACATCATGGAGGGATCCCTCCAGTCCCCAGTTGATCTGAATCCCTGGGAGCTTTGAGCGTACTTTTGCTTGCTCTGCTTTTTTGTCATGAGAAGGCCCCTGCTGTCTCATAGCCCTGCGCAGGAAACACGATTTTGGTCGATGCGAGCAGACAAGGCAGGCCTGTCCAGACTTTCCAGTCTGGTGTGTAGACCTTACAATCCCGCTGAAGCTCCAGGATATGCTAGACAGTTTTGCCTTGAAAGACGGAAAGGGCTTGTGGGTAAAAGCTGAACCAGAAATTCCAGGGCAGAGCTCGGGATAAATGGTGTAAGCATTGGGCTTGGGTTTCGGATCTGTGGTTGCGGACGGACGCTCCATTTTGTATCCTTTCTCTCCGAATCTTGACGAACGGTTTATCCTGCATGTTTTTTTTTTTTTTTTNNCACGTCTCAAAAGGGCGAGTCCCCCCCGACCATACTATGATCCTCTTCTCTCATCCCCATGAAAGGCCCAGAAGTGTGAGAAACTCAGAAGTATGTGGAAGAGTCAGGGGATCTTTGATATCAAGGCAGATGTGGCTCAGCTTGAGCAACCTTGATCTATCGGCAGGTAGGACGTGCATAGTTTGCTCAGGCATATGGCTGTGGCCCCAAGTTGCACTTGCAAACATTGTGAGACATGGATGTTTCCTAATTTGAGGATATGGAACGAGCTGCGCGGGGACATTCGTTCCATACTCCCATCCGTAGGGTATGGATCATCGCACCTTTGTGCCATGCCCTAGGTCCATACCCTATCCATCAGCTGCCCTGTTTCATAGAGTATGGATCAGTTCATCGGTTGTGGGAAAGCCAAGGCGCGGGTGTGTAGGATGCAGGATATTGGTGCGGTCCACACAGGTAGTATGTAGCATGGTCCAAGGGATGCCCTTGCCAATTTCGGTAGGCGTGAATCAGACCAACCATCGATCTCATGATGGTCGTGACCATAGTAACGGGAAAAAATCAAGGATGATCATGACAAACAGCAATCACGGCAGTACTGTAGCAGCAGTTTACTGGCAGCAACGATCTTGGTGTCGCCAGTACTCTGGCCGGCGCTTCATCTGCATTGCTGGTTGCTATGATTGTCTGGACTGCTAGGATTTTCTGACCTTGCAGCACGTTACAAAAAAAATATAGGTCACCTTTGAGGGTCTTTTGTGGTAGGACTCCGGGAATCCTACACTCTGGCATGGCTGTTTACAGAGTACTTCATGAAGCCCATGAAGCCTTGCAAACATGCCCCGATACCGCTATACGATCCCCAGAGAAATCCTATGAAAGGCTAAAACACCCCTACAAAAGTCCTGATGTACCCCTATCATACTGTAGAACAATTGTTGTGGTAAGCCCCTGCACTTTCTGCGTTCACCGGAGATCTCAGCGGCAGGTAACTTCTGGCAGAGCTCTCAACAACATCTTTTCTGCTTTTCTGAGGCCACAAGCTTGGCTTAGCGTGCAAGGTTTGCAGGTTAGGGTACGCAGAGGGCCTCACGTTGGTTTACCGAAAGAAGTCTGAGTTCAGAGGGTCATCTCAACTTCCAGAACGGCCCCAAGTAGTTGGAGATCTACCTACGTAGTTTTGATGATCCTGGGTTTAGGGCTTGTGTTAATATGTCGGCATACAGTATTTCTTTATGGCAAGGTGTTTGGAATAAAGAGTTTCTAGCTGAGCAGTTCTGACTGGAAAAGTAGGGAAAAGTAGTTTGTGTTTTGACACAGCCGTCTTGCAGACTCCAGGCTCTGAGCCCTAAAGCCCGGGCACCGCGAATCCAAAATGCAGTTCTGGGAGCATAGAGACTCAGCATTGACATGTTTACGCAGTGGTAGGTGGGCTTGCAGCGCAACCCAGATACTGGTTTGGTGCAGTTCCTTTAGCGTGGAACCACAGAAGCTGTTTATCCTAGACTGCGCCGGACCCCAAACTCACACCTCATCTTCAGCTTAGCGCTAGGTCTTGAGTTTGAGGTTCAGGTTGTAGGTGGGTCTTGCTTTTAAAGGTCAGATGACAGAAGCAACATCCACCTTTCTCAACAGACCAGGCGCCACGCGAGGCATTGTTTGACTACAAATCTCAACGATTAGATCCCAGCAAGCTAAAGCGCGCAAACTCTGAGCTGCATTGCTGATGAGCGCGGCTATAGGAAGTCAAAAACGGCATGAGCTACAGGCATGTGCCAAATTCGTGGTTCCCTGTTTTGCGCGCCCTGCTTTTGGGTATAACTTCCAGATGTACGCTAGCATTTTAATTTTGGTGCTGATATGTGCTGATGCCCATTCCCGCGTTCAGCCGTGTGTCCCACAGGATTTACCTCTTCCAAAACAAGAAGAGCGGCACAAGTGCCTGGGCTTTAGTGTTTGGCTTTGTGAGGCGAGACTCATGTTAACGCGAAACTCTTGAACTCAGATTGAAGGGCTTATCTTAGGTGGACCCCCTGCCCCGCCATTGCGGTACCACAGGAATATGAGAGGACACCAGTATAATCACCAGTATCCCTTATAGTCACTACTACTGGGTGTGGGCTCCGCCTAAGGCTTATCACAGATGCACGGGTATACAGTTGACCCCATAAGGCTCAAACCTGAGGCTTAAGGCAAGGGTCAGGCCTAGGTTCGATTGGGGGATTTAAGGAATTTTGTGCTTCAGCGTTTGAGGGCTTTAAGAGTAGGTCTGAGGATTTGGTGGTGTTTTAGCATTTGAAGTTTTTGGGGTTTCATGGTCTAGCGTGTCTTAAGGGCAAGCGTCTCAGAGGTTCAGGATTTCAGGGATGAGACTGTTAGGCTGAATTTTCAGGCTTACTGCTTCGGGCTTGGGGTTCAGGGTCTTGCGTGAAACCCGGGCAGAAATTTGCATACCACAACTTTGGGTAGGCTAGGGCATTTAGGATTTAGAGTTAAGGCTGATGGGCACGTCCCCTCACAAACGATCCTGATGGAGAGGACAGTCTGGCTGAAGCTCCTCATAGGTCATGGTCTCCCCCAATCCCTGGGGTGCAAAGGGCACTCCAATTTGGTGAAACCCCTGATTGCTGTGGTCTCCTTGCTAGTCCTAGACATTAAGAGCATCCAGTGCGCCTGGCCTTGGGCGTACAGCGAAGGGATGTAGGGTTTAAGTTTGGGAAGGATTCATGTCTTCGGTTCGCGGCTTAGGCCTCAGAGATAGGACTATCAGTCTGATTAGTTTGTTTTTACAACTGTCCGATTCTGCTGAAGTCAGGCAAAACCTGAGAGCATGTAACACCTGAGCGCAAGCACATGAAGTTGAGAGTAGGCGCCGAGCTTTGGTGAACCTAAGTTCTTTAGTATCCGTGGCGAACACCCTAAGACCCTAAGATCTAGGGCCTGAATCAATTGGCTTAAGGGCCTAAATCCCCAAACCCTGAACTCATCAAGTCCAGACTTTGAATCCCTGAACCCGAACTATGGGGTCTCCTCCAAGGATTATGGAACCATTTTGAAGCTTCCATATCTCTGGTAAGGCGTCGTTGTTATTGCATCTTGGTTTCTTCAGCGATTTTCCTGACTATTTGCGAGCGTACTTTCCTGGGGTGCTCAAAGTTGAAGAGTAATCTGCACGATCATTCTGGAAGCAGCGGGAGATCTGTTCCCTGCATGACGGTTTTGTGGCCGATCACCAGGGCGACATACTACACATACATCCTCTCCTTGGCCGTTCACCGCTAATTCTGAGTCAGGGTTATAACCTAGTGACGTAGTTGGATGCAAAACGATCGTTGTTGTGTTGATAGTGCTGACTTACTGCTAGCCGCGCACCTTTCGATAAGAGCGTAAAATTTCCAAGGTTTGTCACGGCTACCCCTTAGACTACAGCCCGCGAGGTCCCCCCTGTTCACCCTCAGTTAGCCCTAGAAAAGACCGATTAAGTGGGTTTAGTTTGAGCAGCCATGCGTTTCAGGTTGATTTGCAGCAACATGGTGGGCTCCATTCTTTGGCTTTTCTCTGTTTGCCCAGCCTCTTCCTTTTTAGTAGGATTGGAAGCTGATTCGATTCCTAAACTAAATAGCCTTTTTCCTGATTCTCTAAATCTTATACCCTACTCCTTTACCCTTTACCCTACACCCGCATCCTTGAGACTTCCACTCTAAACACCATACAATAATCCCTACACCTTAAAACCTAATCGCTAAACGCTACCCTACCCCACGAGTTCTTCTAGTTTGCTGAAGCGTTGAAATGCCCTAGCTTCCAGAGCTGGGTTTTTCGTGTTGCTGTTGAATTCTAAGCCCTTCAAAAAAACAAATGGGTTTCCGGTGAGGATATAGGGTTAGAACTTGGGGTTCACGTTTAGGGGTCAGAGAGTCCAGGATTATTTGTAGATTGTCAGGTGTATAGTTTTTTTGTGGACGTCCGCAAAAGTAGTGGAAACATTATAATGGGAATTCGCATAATCTTGGCAACATACAAAATCTCACCCACCCCTTCAGAATGTGTTTTCCCAACACAGCTTGAGGACATACTGCGAAAACATTAATTGTTGGGGCGGGTATTATGTTGTGAGGAGCTGGCGATTCGTGCCAAAGCTTACGGCTTCCCGGAAACAGCGCATGACATTGGAAAGGAAGCCTTGTTGTTGGACTTCCCCATGTTTGCTTCGAAAGGCCATCCTGGAATTGCAGTTGTGGCAGAGCGTCGGTAAAGTTGATTGCCGACA